CAGCTTCAATTCTAAGTAAGCGCGATAAGTTTTTCTGACAAAATCATTGATCAGTTTTGTGTCATTCGTTGTTGTAAACTCTCCACATATATGAGAGTGGAATTCAGGATTGTTTCTACATTCTCTGCTTGAAGTTATTTTCCTTTGGTATTAAGGCCTAGAAATAAAACAAAGTGTGAATAATAACATATTATTCGGATACGAAGTAAAAGAAGGTTTCGTGGGTGAATAGGTTGATTTTTATTATGCACGTCACCGATTACTAAAATGTTATGGAGGCTCACTCGAATCACTGCAGCAGAAATTAGCCTTGTGTTCACGGCGATAAAAGCACACTTGACAGGAAATAAAAGGTCTATGAATAAGAGGAGAAGCATGGTAAATTTTATATTAATTTCATACAATTTATTTATATTTTTCTGTGTATTGGTGTCTGTATTTTTTAGTTTACAATTGTTTTATTGTACATTCGACGAAAAGAAGAATTTACTCCGTAGAATTACAAGAGAGAAGTTACACACGTGTTGCCCGTACCAAGGTTCGTGGCGAAGAGATTGAATGTAACGTCTTTTGGCGGGATGTTCGTATTTCCGGCAGGAACAGTTTTTGTTGCATGATAGGAGTAATTTATCATTTTTTAATTTTTAGCTAATTTATTTTATACAATATTTTTATGTTATTGTTTTATTTTATTTATAATTTTCATTATTATTATGATTTTATATTTTATTTTTACTTATTTATAATAATAATAATATCCTACAACTTTATACTTTTGTCCTCAATTCATACTTAATACTAGTCATTGCAAATAATTGATTAAACTCATATGAGGCACCAAGCTTATCTTTTGTAGAACATATTTATAGTTTGGCGATATGTGTAAAAAATACACGCATGTGCATACCAATGATAAGTCTATGAATAGTTTGATTATGAAGAGACTTTAATAGTTTGAATAACGATGTGCCCACCGTTATCTCCATACATTTTCAGTTACTCAATGAATGCATTCCTTTTTTTTATTATAGAGCCATTATTCATCATTGTGATGTCAGATTATTTTTCATTAATAAAGATTGATTTGAGTTGATTATGATTTTAGGTTTACATTTTCTAATCTGAAAATCGTGAATTAATTCGATAAAACAATGAGACATGAGAAACAGAGAAAATGGTAAGAATATAAAAAAAAAAAAACCAGACGTCAGTTTTGTATTTGGCGCCTTTGAATTATCCAAGAAATAGTTTTTTTCAATCCTTGCACTAATATATATATATATATATATATATATATATATTTAAGCATTACGCCCCGAGCAAGGTGTGAAGCCACTAGGATGCAGGGGGTTGCAAGAGATTTGGAGCAAGAGCAGATAGGAGTGATAGAAGAAAGGATGAGGAGAAGGATAGTGGATAGATCAAGGTAACTGGAGATGTCGATTGACATTACATTTGAATAGTTGGAGATTATAGCTCTCAGGGAAACAGTAATTGGGAAGGGTGTTCCACAGGCCAGAGGTGCGAGGTATGCAGCTACTGGAGTAGAAGAGACGGCTACATTTAAACGTTTCTACAGTGTAAGGGTGGGAGCTGGGTGACAGCATCGTAGGGCGCTTGAATTCATGGAGCCTGGGAACCAATGAAAGCAGCTCATCGGAGCAATTACCATGAAAGTATTTGTAGAAAAGACAGAAAGAGGCGACGGCGCGTCTTGACCAGTGTTATCATCCTTGCGATAAGAGTAGAGAATTTGTGTACCATAGAATAGACATAATAAGACAAGATACTCTGTCAAGTAGTGTAACTAAAAATTCAAAAGAATTCACTGATAGTGCTTTCCAAGTCATCGCAGAGCCACCTTTATACTTCAGTCTAGGCGCCAGTCAGAGCTGAAGACGTTTTGGGGTTGTCTCCAGGCATAAACTCGACTCGAAGTGGGAAAAGAAGTGAATTATAATTCATCAGAGAAGATAAGAGTTAAATTGAACGACTGAGCGCTTGTGATAGTCTAGACGCCATTGCTCTTCCTTCTTGATTTTGGTGAGGGAAAGGAAAGGCGCAATTATGGTATCCATCTGAACGCAACTTACGATTAACGGTTTTGGTTGACAAAGAAGTCGTTTAATTATACTGTCACTTTTGCTGCTATAGTTCCTATGTTGTTTTATTTTAGTCACGATTAGTTTAACTGTTCGAATAACCTCTTTGTGAACTGTAGTTTTACTTCAGAATTATACTTGCCAGTGCTGGTTTTACTCTGATTTTTAATGCCAACATCATTTTAAAAACTGGATCGAAAAACAATTCTGCAGTTTTAGTCACAGAATGATCAGCCATTTTGGCTATAACAATTAGTTCTGTTTGGAAATCAGATGGGTGATATATTTTAACTTAAAGGGTTATATTATGAAGTACAAGGTTTACATAATGCATTTTAATATATATCCTGCCTGTGGGTTATATATACATGGCTAAGTATCGCCACCTGAAATAGGAT